TAATGTGGAGATGTCTTTCTGCACTTTTGGACATAAATTTAGAGCCTGGGTCTCATTTTCAGGATTATGAAAATAATCTTAAAGTGGGATTATATTACATCTATACTGGTTTTAAGATGCCAGAGTGATGCAAATTGGCTCTAGCATAACTGAGAATCAAATCCTGAATTTCTAAACTCACATAAGGTATCTTTGGGCAGCTCCTCAGCTGGTGGAAATTGTCATAGCCCCAGAGAAGTCAGCAGAGGCATGACCATTTACACCGTGCTGAAACAATGTCCCTTTTGCTTTATAGATATAAGGGTGTTTAGTGGGCACCCATTTAATTAAAAACCAGTAAGGATGCTCAAAGCCATGCTCTTTCCCAAGCTACATGTAGAAATGTTCCTCTTATATCCCTTTTTGCAAACTGGAACTGTTTAGCTGCCTTTTGTCTCCTGAATCCTGTAGGTGGCTTGAGCTAAGTTCCTATAAAACTTACGCTTTTCCACCCCCAAGCTTTGGAATGGTTAAGAAGTATATGGAAAAACATCATTGTTTAAAGTAACATTTCCTTAGCAACTCCAGTAGATTAACAATAGTAACAACTATCTTAAAGTACTTTGTTTATTAAGTGTTTAACATAAAATTAATATTAGCAGTTTTATGGCTGAGATTCTTGTGTTCTGTGACCATACAACTCTGTACAATATGAGAACTCCAAACATTACACCCTTGAGTTAGAAACTTCATAAGTAACTTTTATAACAGTAAATTGTCTCATAGGTAAGTGTACAGAAATATCAGTTATTACCATATAAACTTTGGGCAGTGGGACAATAAATATTTTGCTATGAAGTGGGTTAATTCTATAGTCAAAATTATGTATAGCGATCAAGAAACACTATATAAGCTGTTTCATTTTTTATAGTACTCTGTTGAAAAAAAATCACAATTTATTTCTTTAGTAACTGAGAAACTGGATAGTACCCTTTTTTAATCTGTTAAACTATTCCTAGTATGAATATGCTTTTATTTGTCCTCAAGTAAGTTTTTAATCACCTTTTTACCAAGGTTTAGCACCATTTAGCAAGATCATTACTGGTAAGTTTGCTGGGAATGTACAATATATTATCTATTCCATGCTAAAATACAAGGCCCAATTGAACAAAAAGTTCATCTTTGTTGTCTGCAGTACAACTTCAGTGCAGAAGTAGCAACAATATGCTTTAAATCATGAAGCCGCAGTTTACTTACAAACAAAAAATCCCTCCCCTCCCCTCTGCATAAGGAGTAATGAATGATGACTGATTATTTAATAGTAATGGTAAAGGGTATTTTTTTACAATGGGAAAGTAGGAGGGGTTTTGACTTCATCTTAATTTGACTTAGAACATCACACAATAAATGGTTACAACCTGGTATTTCAAAAAGCTCAGATTGTTGTAACATTTCTGGATGTTATGTGAGGCTGAAAATGTATAAATGTACATACAGACATGTATATACACATACATTGAGGTGCCTCAGGTGATCTTGAAAATATTGTGAGGGATGCCTAAAGCAGCAGCAGCAAGTGTCCCTAAGAAAATACGGTCTGGTTGTCAAGCTTTCCTGCACATGTATTGAAAAACCTCATTTTGCAGCAAATACTCTGGAAATAAATTGACTTGTCAGTCAAATGACATGTTCAGATTTTGGGGATTTCTTAGTAGGGGTATTTAATTAAAAGGCATACAACTTGTTATTTGCAAGCTAACAGCTTATGACAGACTCCTCATATATGGAAACTTTTTGCCAGTGAAATGATATTTAGTGTTCCATAGCTTTTATCTGTCACTCATCTTATAGCTATAGCCTATGTGTGTATGGACTAAAACCAGAGTGCAGCAGATACAGTACAGCAGCAGTGTGCCACAGGTTGGTTCCCCGAGTAACTGACAACACTGCAGTATTCTGTTACAATCTGATGTGGTAAGGACAGGATAAGCTCTCTGGCTACAAACAGTAACTGACCCTATCCTGTTTTGTGATGATGCGCCAAATAAACTCTCATGATTGTACAGTAAGCTGTCTGTTTATAAAGGGCAGCTGGGGAAGATTCTAGACATGTGCTAGGATGTTGCAGAGTCCTACCTATGGTGAAAAGTAGCTGGATGTAGCTCTGTGACTGGTCAACAGCATTTTGTCAGTCAACAAAATGATACGGGTAAGTGATGTAATTTACTTTCTCATCTCTTCTTCCCCCAGAACTAAGCATTCTGCCTCTGCAAAAACCTCTAGCCCCCGTGGCCTCAGATCATAAGGACACTTTTGGCCTATTTCTGCAACCTTCCCTTTTGGTGAGTAGTGTACTCGTGACTCATAGCACTGGAAGGAATTTTTATAAGTTTATTCAACCGGAATGCAGCTTTGGTCAACCCAAAACTATTCACGAATGGGGGACACATAATTTTGGCCGTAAGAGCAAGTGGTGGAGATGGTACTGCTGCTATTTTCCCTCTCCCTTCATACTCTTTTGTCCAGTGGTTGAGGCACTCACATGGGAGGTGGAAGACCTTAATTGAAATCCCTGCCCTGGAAAGGACCCACAGTGGACTTTTTTTGTTCAGCTTACCAAAAATTCCAAACACTTTCACTTTGTTTGACCCAAGCTAATTTTTTTACACCAAAGTGAGAAATCAATTATTTGTGCAGCTGTACTCAGGAGTGTAATGCCACTAAATCAAAGTGCTATTTCCTATAGCTCTCATTAAAACAAATTGGATTTGGCTTCACTTTGTCAAAAGGAAGGAGCGGGCAGGAAAAGCAAGCAACTCTTTTTTTTAAAGTGAGAACTTCTCCAGGGCTTTGAGTTCATGGAGAGGGAGTTGCTATATAATGATGAGCACAGCATTTGGAGGCCATTGCAAAAACTCCAACGATCATAGGTGCAAGGATGTAAAGATCTCAAGAGCCCAAGAAGATCACTGCAAGCCTGAGCTGAGTGGGAATTTCTAATGTATCATGAAGGTAAGCACCCAAACACCTTGGGCCAGAGATGTGTTTGCAGAGCTTCTCTGGGAACTTTCTGTGGACCAGACAATGAGGAGATGATGTCGTGAACCACATGAAAGATTTAGAGGCATTAGTAACCACACTAGAAAGGCAACACAGTTCAGGGGCTATTTGCTGGCAATGCTGGTCCTTTGTTCACATGGGCACTGGAAGGGCTATGATTTACTGTAGCTATTTGTTTCTTTTTATTGGCGCTTGGACTTTGTAAACCCTGTGCAAGTGTCAATGAACTGACCTAATTAGCATCCTTCACTGACCTTTTTCTAGTGATTTTTTTTCAAAATGACCCCAGTTTGTTTATTTTTAACCTATTGTTTTGTCTTGTGTACAAGTAATGAGGATACAATGTTTTAAAGCAGCAGGATGAATGGGTCACTCGATTATTAAAATAAAGGAGTGAAAGGAGTAGGTCTACCTGATAATGGATCCTGCAGAGAGCCCTACCTCATTCCATGTGGACCTGACAATCTAGGCGCATTCACTCAGTAGCTGTGTGGGTGAGACATCCAAGTACAACACACCTTTCACTTCAAACACTGCTAAAGAGTCATAGCACATGGCTTGCCATATTCAGAGATAGAAAACCACACCTCCTGATTGCAAGAACAGCAGCTAATCCAGTAGAATGCAGTACCTGCCACTGAATTTGCCTGTCTTATGCCACCTGATAAAAATGTGGCTAACAGTAAAGCTTTGTATTTATATAGCACTTTATCATCTTAAAACCTCAACACACCTTCCAAAGTGGTTAAGCATTAGCAGCCTATTTTTACACTTGACGTAGATACAGAGCAATTTGTATGATGGATACTGTGGTCTAGTGCGAAAAGAACTGGTTTTTACTATTTCAGAGAGCTGGAGAGGAAGGGGGAGGGGTCTGTTTCTGGATCCACCATAAGCCTACTTTGGCCACTTGCTTAAACTCTGTTGTTCTCATTTGGAAAATGGGCCCACAGAGGATGCAAAAGAAATGGTAACTTTACTAGTTCTTTTCACTTTTTAAAAGGAAAATATTGCCTGTATCCATGATATTTTCTTCCATTACCTTCACTGATATAAAAGCTGATATAATTTTGAAACAGCCATTTCATAGACAATTGATTATTCTTGGCCTTGAAAACTGCCTCTGGTATCAAAATTTTGTGATGCATTGTTACTTGCTCAGACAGGCAGAAGGACACAAAGTTAGACAGATTGGAAACTTGCAAACATTTTTAAAAAATGCTCACTCATTTCATGCAAAATATAAAGAAAATGTTCCAGTTGTCAATTAATTAGACAATTATTAAATAACTCAAAGCTTAATTTATCTTTTTGGCACAAAATCAGCCTTTCAGTGGGACATTAGTTGCAGCACCTTGTGTGTCTTATAAGCTTTCAACAAGCCAATCGAGAGCATTATGCTCTTATGTATTTCATGCACAATCCCTCTCCTACAGAAGTCAACAAAAATAGTGCTGTCAGCCATGAAAACCGGATTGGCCCCTTAACTCACAGTGACAGCAATGGGAGGAGGATCAGGCTGCATCATTCAAAACAAATTCTTAACAACTTTGCTTAATTGCACTTTTTTCAACATAGCAGGTGCATACATTTTCAGGGGTATTTAATTATATGGAAAGTTTGAAAGGGGAAGTAATCAGCTGTTTTTCAGCTAGACAGAAATGTTAGCCAAAAATCAGAATGTCAAAGCTTGGTGATATTTTTTAAGTGACTCTGATTCAAAAACACCTTTATTAATTTTCTACAAGCTTTGCACAAGTATTCTCCTTCGTGTTCTGAAAATACAGCAACTCAGGCCACACAAATTTTCCAAGCAAGAGCTACAGACGTGATAAAAGAGAGCTCTTTAATGGAAGCCAAATTAGAGAGAGACTAATGCCTCTCCATGATCAAGTCACGTGTGTGTGTGTGAGTTTTTTTTGGTCAGCATGAACACAATCTAGCTTCTGTAAGTTTTTTTTGTCAGCATGAACACAATCTAGCTTCTGTATACTTCTTCAATGAGGGCTTGAAAGTATCAGTTCTTAGCAACATAAAAGAGATCTAAACCACATTCATCAGCCATCCACAGTTTACTTTTTTCATTACTTAGCTTTGAGTGACATGGAAAACATCATTTCATAATCTAATCAAATATTTGGTCCATTTGGTTTAATTGAGCTAGTCTTTATGAATTGCATTTAAGAAAACTTCTCACTGATTTATTTCTTTGATATTCCCTTGTCCCATCATATTTCTTTCTTAATTTCTATGCCGTTAAAGTCTGGAACTACTAAAGAGGGAAATGGGGATGAGAGTGTCTAGGTCTTACACTTTGGATAGAAACATGGCAGCTTTGGTTAATCCATCGTCTTACACATAGAAACTAGACAAGACACCTAGAATGACCAGTGCCTAAAGCTTTAGTTATGGCTTTAAATTAGCCTGGTCCTATGGAGGAAAGACCATCACACATGTTAAAGCATTAGTAAAAAGATAATTGTGATCGGATTAACAGGACAGATGGACTGCAGGCTGCTGTTCGTGGTGGTGAATTCCTTGCTACTTTCAAGCCCAGATGCCCACAGATGCTGTTTAGAGGAGAGGAAGGTCCTTTTGGAAGAGGTTGACTGCTGATGGACTATTTCAATGTCTGAGGGTGCTTGATGCCCTGAAATAGGAAAGGAATTTATAGCAGAGGCTCACAACGAAGTACCAGATGTTGCGAGCCATCTGTGACCTTGCAATGAAAATGCGCCAGATGATCACAAGGAGGGTGGTGTTGAATGCATACTGGATGTTCCTTAGCCTGACAAACAAAAGAGAAGGACATTAAGAAAAATTACTTAAAACAATACTTCAGATGCAGCCTGAACATCTTTGTATCAGACTTGAAGAAGAATTTCTGCATTGCAGAAGACTTTAAAAGTGATTTTATTTATAAAAAGGAATGATATTCTTCCCCTCCCCACCTTTACTGTTTACTCAGAAGCATTTTGGTGCCTAAACAGGTGTTGCCTTTGTGTTTCAAAGTCACCTCCTCCTTCGCGACCTTGCATTGAAATTATAATGTAACGAATGCAGTGATGTGATAGATTCAGCTACACCAGCATGCCCCACGTTTCTTGGATTCCATAAATTCTGACTTCAGATCAGAACTGAGTCTGAATTAACCCTGACAGTTGATTTCCTAGGGATGGACAAAGATGTTCTATTATCCATGTTTTAATCATATGTGACAGCAACTTTTAAAAATGTTGAAAATGAGGTTTTGGTAACTGGCTTATGGGATGTTTGCAGGGATTGACAAAGTGACTCTTTAGTGGGTTTATTCCTTCCTCTTTGACACATCTCAGTCTGGTATTGTCAGGCAACTGTTCATCCTCCCCAGGGGTCCATTTTCAGGGTCTAGCAGCAATCTGTTTTTTCTCGGCCCTGGATCATTGCAAATGTAAGGAGATTGTAAAATGATTTAGGCTAAGATGTCATTATTATGATTATCATATTAATCTCCATGCCTGCTTTTTGTCAAACAAAGATTATACAGTTCTCTACATTCCTTACTTTCCCAGAGTCTGATCAAGATGAAGATCAGCATAAAGCAAAGTAGATGTGATCTAGCCTGGTCAAGATAGCTTAGTCTTTTTTGTGTGTGCACTTTGTTTTGATATTTTGGCTTATACTGGTAGTGATGGAGTTTGTACTACCCATTTGTCTTACATGTTCCTGATTTATTATAGAAGCACTTAGATGTGAGGATTATCAATCTTTAAAAATGACACAACAAATTAATGATTCATTTATGACATCCCAGCAATGGCAACAGCCCGTTTTATACTTGTAGCTTCACAACAGCCAGCATTTTCCCGAGTGCAAAGTGCTGTTCCTTGAAGGACATAGCATTGGTCCTCCAGCATAAGCACCTCTGGCCCCCTTTTTGTGGTTTTTGGCACTTCTGGGTATTTGGTCTGGAGGAGATGAGACGGGCTTACACTTTTCTTAACTGAAAAAGGGATCCCGAGATCTTTCATTCACAATGTGTTAGAACTTCATAGCTTCTAATCCCAAAATACCAAATCCAGTTTAGAAAACTCTATTTGATCTAGGAATGTGAGTCAGGGAATAAAGGTAAAATCGCCTCAATCTCCAGAACAAGCGCATTTCTACATTCTGGTTTGAAGTTTTATGCAACCTTTGGACATTGTCATAAATCTTTAGGCATTTGTTAAAATTAAGAACTGCCCCTTGCTTTTGTTTTTCTTGTCCTGAATGAACTGAACTGTAATGCCTCTCTGCCACTTTAGGGTGGGTAACTCAGTGGTGAGGAGGGTAGGCTACTAGCCTCCTAATAGAATGTGCTGCTGCTGGACCATGGGACCTGTCCACCTCCCTCCCCCCCTCCCCCCCATAAGATTGGCAAGGAAATATTAGGCCAGATTCTTAGTTGATGTAAGTAGGGAGCTATGCCTTTCTTATCTTGAAGGAGCTCATTCACAACTTGGCACGGGTTTGATTCACCTGGCCTTGTCCCAGGAACCATATCTTTCAATTAAATATGAAACCCTTGTCTTAAACACCCTTATACACAGCTATCCAAGGCAGCCAGGGGCCATTGCCACATTTGACCATACGTGGCTTACTTTCGTAAGTGCTGCTTTGCTGCAGGAATCCCAGACATGTCCTCATTCAGCAGATACTTCTTCGCACCTATGCAATAATTTTCAATGTATTCTGACCAATGCAGCTGGCGCACATCAAAGTTGAATAACTGGAATTAAAGAAAAGGGAAGTTTATTAAAGACCACAGTCCAATTTTCAGTAAAAGAGCAAAGCTGTGATCCTGAACTGAGCTCCACTTGGAACAAAGCCTGTGCCTAAAGATTTCCAAACCACGAGTTTCAACTGAAGGAATGAGCAACTCTACTCCAGCTCTATCCTACTACTCTTCACTAGAGTTCCCTAAGCTCTGCTTTCAACTCACAGCTTAGGGAACTCTGGCCTTTAGAACCTGGAGATTTCCAGCCAATGGTGCTACATATAGTTATCTATGTTTTTAGTGTGACTAAAGAAAATACTATCGTCCTGTAACAGATGCTGCATATTGAGAATACTTCAAAAGGTCCTGTTCTCGTATCATACTGGGGTTATATTTGTAATGAAAATACAGACATACTGAATACTCAGGGTCACTCAGTGTCAATAGTACAGCTGGGCAGAGCTACATTCTCTTTCAGCATTTGTTGCTCCAGAAATCCAAGACATTGTTCAATCAGACAAATTGATGTCAAACAACTGAATTGCTAATGACATATAGTTTCATACTTTGAGATTTTAAATGCAACAAGTATCAGCAATGCTCTCAGGGGATTGTAGACCTAAGCGATTGTATGTCTATGGAACAGGTTAATCAATAAAGTATAAAGAGAAAGTGCTTTGATTAGCAGAGAGAACTGCTAATTGTGAAGCAGGGCTTTATGCATGAATAAGAAGAGAGCTGATGTGGCTCCACGGAAGTATTTTCAAGGAAGATATGCAGACGCAAACTCTTTCACTCGCAAGGCCATCCAGCCCTTCCAGCTTGAGGCATAAGCAGTGGCATCAGCCTGGCTCCGAGCTAGACGAGAACTCCGCATATAGCCATAGAAAACAGGAAGATGACATAGTTATACCTGGAATTAGCTACCTTCCTGGATCCATGGTATAGGAGTTCCATGTCTTGTGAGGCATTGTACCACATCTCCCATACTGGGGATCCATATGAGAATTTCACAAAGAACTAGACTAATTCTATTTGATCATGGAGTCCCATCTCTCTGCACATATATGATATGTATGCTGAAACTCAGCCTAGATTCTTCAGACCTGTTGCTTATCTAATCATTACTGCCCCACTCCTATGCAAAAGTACTTAAACCAATAGAGAGTATGTTAGGTTTTGACGTCCTGCAGTTACTACTCTAGGGCTGTTCAAATCCAGGACATGTTCATACTGTATGTTCTCTCTGGCTAAGACACTGTACTATTTTCTCAAGTATTGTACTGGAAGCCCTGTCCAACTCCTGCTGAGCTCGATGGAAAAAAGTCTGTAACTGGAGGGTCTTCAAGTATTCCAAATATACAGTATTCCTGTTTGTAGTCCAAATATTTGTGCGCATGGGTGCCATGTGCAAGCTCTGAAAGATTTCTGAAGTATTGCCTGTGGAACTGTACATTTGTCATGCTGTGTCTCAGGTGAGGTTATATTAGGTTGTGCAGGTCAACATCTCTTCAGTCACTCTTACCACTGAGTCCACAGCAGAGAGGAAGGAGGACAGGTATTGAAATACAAATAGTGATTGCACATCTGAAACCACAAATTACAGGAAGAGACAATGTGTGGGGAGAAGCACAATGGATCATATGGTCCTCCTCCCCCCAAGATGCTGCTTGGCTTGTACCGAGCATGCTCACATGGACCAAGCAGACTCAGTAACATTTGATGAAGCCTTTGCCCTCACTCGGTCCCCTCCCCCACTATCAGCTGGTACAGGTAATCTCTGGAGACGCAAGTAAACTGTGTTTTTTTAAAGTGGTGGTCCCTATATGTATTCCAAGTGTGGGTGAGTACTGAGCAGTGATCAGCATGGAGAAGGGGGTGAGGATGCAATAGAGAGCATAGCCTGCAATATGGCATGGCCCATTGAAGCATCTTCCACAGTGTCTTGGGGGATGGTGTAATGGGTGGTGAAGATATGTACTGAATGCCATGTTGCTGCCCAGTAGATGTCATAGAATCATAGAACTGTACAGAAGCTCTAGAGCAGGGTTGGGGAACCTAAGGCCCAGGGGCTGGATGCAGAGCACACAAAATCTACTAGCTGCCCCTCTTCTCCTCCCCCCCCATCTCTGGTGTGTAAGGGGAATGTGGGGATAGGCTCTCTCCTCAGTTGGGGGTCATGTCAGTGAGAGTGGGTTTTTTCTTCTGTTTTGTGTAGCCCCCACTGATTTTTCTGTGGGTCAGAGGTCCCCAAAAAAGGTTCCCCACCCCTGCTATAGAGGTTATCAAGTCCAGGCCCCTGCTCTTATGGCAGGACCAAGCACCATCCTTGACACGTGTGTCTAATCTACTCTTAAAAATCTCCAATAATGGAGATTTCGCATCATCCTAGGCAATTTATTCCAGTGCCTCGCCACTCTGACAGTTAAGAAAAGTTCTCCTTAATGTCCAACCTAAACCTCCCTTGCTGCAGTTTAAATGCATTGCTTCTTATCCTGTTCTCAGAGGTTAAGGAGAACCATTTTTCACCCTCCTCCATATAACAAACTAAAACTGTTGTATCCCTTCTCAGTTTTCTCTTTTCATCCAGGCATTTGAAACCCCTCCCAGCTTAGTATCATCGGCAAACTTTATAAGCGTACTCTCTGTGCCGTCATCTAAATCATTGATGAAGATACTGAACAGAACCGGTCCCAGGACTGATCCCTGTGGAACCACTGATAACTACACTCTGGAAATGGTTATCCAAGCGGTTATATACCTACCTAATAGTTACACTGTCCAAAAAAGCTATCAGATTTGTTTGGCAAAGATTTGTTGTTGACAAAATCCATGCTGTTACTTATCACCTTGTAATCTTCCAAATGTTTGCAAAGATGTCCTGCCAGGCAACATCTGCTAGGGAGGTAGAGGTGGCTACTTGTGTCTGCATCGAGTGCACCATAATTTTGCCAGGTGGCAGGATGCTGGAAAATGTGTAGCATTCCTAGATACCGATTTTGAGATTCACTGGGAGGAGAGTGCTTGGCCCTTGAGTCAGTCAGCAATAGAAATTAACAATTTTGTTAATATGCAGAAGACATACATACTGTGGAAGCGGAATACTAGCACATGGGAGATGTTGATGGACTGGATTCTCCTATCTGCAGGGGAGAAGTGTGGCTTAGGATGGAAGACACAGGTCCCCTTTGGGAGGAATGTGGGATGTAGTTGCAAGGAAGCTTTGAGTTTATGAAACATAGTGTAAGTGTGGGGGTAAAGGGTCAGCCATCATGGCTGCTAGCTTGCTGATCCACTGAGCCAAAGTGATGGCCACAAGGAGGATTACCCTTCACAGAGAGATGTGAGAGGGAGCATGCTGCTATTGGGTTAAAAGGTGGAGAGGACAAAATAAAGGTCCCAAAGAGTCATGGGTTTTAGGACTGGTGGGAAGCTATTGAAAAGACTTTTCATCAAGTGAACAGCCGCGGGTTGAGTAAACACCGAGTGCCATCTTCAGTGATTGAGCCATCTGCTTTTGCAATGCAGAAAAGGAAACATCCTTCTAAACAAAAAGGCTCATACAAGACTAATTAACAAACCTGTGGAGGGGGATGGGGATAAATTATTTCTCTTTCTTTCTAAGAAGTATTTTCAATGCTGACCATCCCTGGAAGATGCTACGTGAAGGCTCACTCATAAATCAAGTATGATGGGCTGGAAGACTGGAGGTGAACACAGCTATGGCTGGAAATACAAGCAATTAAGCATTAGTGGCAATAGGTATACTTACTCTCCTGTCCTCTGGACTGAGCTGGGCCATTAGCATGTTCATATTATCAGAAGACCACTCCCAGGACTGACAGGTAAAATATTCCAGCAGCATCATAGACTTGTGCAGCCGATTGAAGATCTTCATCATCCTGAAACAGTGCAGAAGTGTCTGAACCATGCAGAGCTACAGCAGCTCATATAAGGAAACAAGGAGAGTTAGCTCTGATCCGATTAACATTTCAGTCAGGGCTCACCTACTCTATAGAATAGGTTGCCCCGTGGAGTTTCATGCCATAGTTGCTTTTTGCTAGCTATCATGCATCTGAGCTTTGGGATTCAGACGTCCAGCAGCATCATATGCTCTTCAGCAGGCTGAGAACTTGCTTAGTAAGTATTTAACAATCCCAACTGAGGCCCTGATTCTGCAGCCGGCTTCTCAAAGACAGGCCCTGAAAAGATCACTACTGACTTCCGAGAGACTCAGATGAGTATGAGGGTGTAACTACAGTTGCAGGATCATGGCCGAATTTACTAGCTTGAACCAAATAATGGGAACAAGCTGACTAATTCCTAGGTAGCTTTGCATATTAGAGAGAGCATTACATAACTCCAGTTTTCAGATATCAGGACAGAGGAATTCTGCAATTTTACTATGGCTCTAAGTGCAACAATTGACACATTTCCCCCAGGACTAAGATATATACATTTCCTTTGTTTTTGAGGTTGAATTTTCACTCTGCAGATGATCACTGTGATGGATCTTCTGGAATTCAATTTAGTGAATCTAGTTAAGACACCCTAAATTGATCTTAGAGGATGCCTCCGCAAGCATCCGGCACTCCTGCTCTTGCGAAGAGTAAGGGAAGCTATGGGAGCCTTCGCTCTCATCAACCTCCCATTGTGGGAACGCCACCAAGCTCAGCTTAAGATAAGCCAACTCCAGCTATGTACATACCTCACACTGAGCTTCCAAGCTAGTGTAGACCTGGCCTAAGTGCTTGCTCACTGTGAATAGGCTGCACATAACCAGTGTTTCCTCTAATTTTTTATGTCCATGTGCAGTAAATGCCATATTGGTGCACATAACAAAATTCATTCTGCACATGGACAATCTGTTGTGGGATGGGGCCGAGAGGTTTAGGATGTAGGAGGGAACTTGGCTAAGGGGTTATGGCTGTGCCTGGGTGTGTGGCATATGGGATGGGGATGGGAATAAGGGGTTTGTGTACAGGTTCCCTTGGGAGAGACTGTCTCCCTAGACATCTCTCGTAGCAGCTCTGGGCTAGGTGAAAGGTGCTGCTCTGTTGGCCATGCCAACTCCAGTGAAGTTGGGCTCGGCTGGGGGAGAGATGCCTCTCCCCAGCTATGGCAGGTCCATGCTACTTGGGACAGTGAGAGACAATTTTGAGAAGGTGTGTCTCCACCATCTGTGGCAGCTCCACGCTGGGGGATGAGGAACACCCTCAAGAGGCATGTTCAAAGTTAGAACACCACGTGGAGCCCAGAGCCAGCGGGAAGTCCTGCTGACTCTGGGCTTCACGTGGGCACTCCCTCTTTGAAATGGGCTCAGAGTCCCATGCTGGTCCCAGGCTCCATGCTGCGCTTCCTCTTTGAAATGCACAAGAGCCCCTGGAGCCTGGGTTCCATGCAGCGCTGTCGCTTTGAAATGCCATAAGGCGCCATCAAAGTGGCAGCACTATATGGAGCAGCTGAGGCCGGACTTCGTGCGGTGCTGCTGCTTTTAAGTACCCTCCTGTTTCTCCCCCACCTTGCTGCTTCTATCTGATAGAGGCAGCGGAGGGGAGGGAAGGGGGAGGAAAGGGAGTGACTAGTCACTTATCCTGTTGACTATTCGATAGGCATTTGCTTATCGTATAGCCGTCTAGTCCTTTACATCCATAATTTATGCCCAGTTTTTAATGATGGTCTAGTCTCCGTCCTCAGTGCAAAGTGGGTGGGTTATCAGTCTGAAGTGGGACTTTAGGGGTGCGTCTAGACTGGCAAGATTTTGCGCAAGAGCACTGACGTTCTAATGTAAGAATTCAGTGCTTCTTGCACAAATATTTTGACGTTCCCACTCAGGGATAAGCCCTCTTGTGCAAGAATACTTACATATAATGGGCTGTGCAAATGGGGCTCCATTCTTTCTTTCTTGAGTAAATGGCTCAAGAGTAATACTGGAGAAAGTAAGGGGACCAAGAACTTTAAAGCGAGAAGAAATATTGAAGGGCTCATTTTCTCAGGATACATGAGCATCCTTCTCCTCTATGATATTTTTAGGTCTGAGGCTATACGGATTAGTGCAACTTCTCACCTGGGCTTTCTTCCTGTTAACCTCATGTACAAGTCATAGAGCATGGCTGGAGCCTTATGACTGACTGCTATCCAGTACTGGTTTATCAGGTAGTTTGAGGTCGTCTGAGCCCTGGGTATTCTGAAGGCCTGTTCAAGAGGGTTCCTCTTGAATGTGGATATGACATGGTATCCTGTAAGAAAACAAAATGTTTTCAATTAGGCATGCACCACTTTTAGAACAAGTGCTATGTGCATACCAATGTGCTCAAATCTATTAATACCACTGGGCAATAACTTAATAGGAAAATAGCTGGATTAAATTATTTACATTTTGTCAGGGGAGAAAGATGGCTGTTTCATGCTGATTAACTCATGAAATGAGCAAAACTTGACCATTAACTTTAAATTATGATTGCATTTCTTAAGAGAACTTTCATTTTCAAAAATCCTAGTGCACATATTGGGCTATACTGAGCAGAAACAATTAGCATAGCTGTATGTTCTATGTGCTATATATTCTGAAAATCCTCCTCATTGCTCCTGCAGGGAAAAATTGGTTTAGGGTGCAGTCATCAGCTACACCACAGATTCTTGAGGGATTTTGTTGTTTGTGCAACAACAAAGTTAATTCCATTATAGTCATAATCCATGGTGCCTGAGAAATGAGACTAAAATGGCAACTGTTGTATTTAGATCACATACTAAGGATACGTCTATACTTAAAATATTAAAATGACACCGTGACAGTGTGGCAGCTGTGCCAATGTTGTGCTTCAGTGGCGACAGCTATACCCCTGTGAATTTTCCTGAACACTCTTGGGCTATTCAAAATCTGCATTTGGTCATTTGTTCCTCCACATATATGCGAGCTAACATATAGTAGTTCCATATTTCAGACTGAAGCAATCTCCAGATCCCTGTCTGGCTTTCTTTCCCTCCCCATTAATCCCACTTTCGAGTAATTATAAAGCTGGGTGGTGGGTTAGGAAAAGAAGAATTCTGGATAATTTGATTAGGTATTAAAAAATCTTGCCAAGTACTGGAGCTTGGAATTTAGGGATATAAACCAACCAAGGTGAACGGAAGGCTAAAGTGTTGGATGTCACAATGCATCGACACTGAAGGCAATGTCCAGGCTGTATCTTTTACAGTGTCTAGCATATGGGTGCTCAGCAAATAATCATGAGGCATACCTAATACTATGTAAGAATCTGTGCATCAGGTGGGAAATCCCATGAATTTTGCTCCTTCTTCTTTAACAAGGCTCTTTAAGTCCTGAGCAGTGTTCCAGTTTCAGAGTTTATTTAGCTTCTCCTTTTCCTAATGCAAACCCACATATTTTATTTGCTGGCAGTGATATCCTGTAGCTGTGGTAGAGCTTTGATACCATCAAGCAGCAAGTGTTTAGAGCATCATCTGCTTTTATTTAAACCCAAACTTTTGCAAATCCAGTTTTCAATCATAAACAGATTTAGGGGGTATTCTTTTGGAAACCGTCATTTAGCTCTCCCCCCTCAAACTACTGTTGCTAGCCTTGATTTTCTGCACTTTAAAAATGTAACAAAAAATTGCATTTTTGGTCATATTTTTAAAATGCAGCCAATGTCATTTCAAATCACATACCATACATTGAATCTGGGCAAATCAGCAATGCCTTCCCTATGTTAGCTAATTAAGGCTTCCAGCAAAACAGCTGTATCGACAGTGCAGCACGATTCCTTCTTGATGTGGAAATCATGTTTAACAAAAGGCAGAGGAAAGACAAGAGAGAAAATAAAAAAGCAATAGGTAAACCTCATCCTTGTATTGTTCTAGTAAAAACTTGAGATGACTATGAGATGGCCTACCTGAAATTCTCAGTGAAAGGTGTTTTAGTGATTGATAGAAGATATAAAACCATGCTACATAATTGGCACAACTGGTGCTGTGGCCAATTTATGATCAAAACCATCTTATTCTATCTGGTAAAAAGATAGAATAGCTTAATTCCTACCTCTAATTTCTTTCTCTCAAAACTTCTAGTGGGGAGACCACAGCCCTTATTTCACGGAGTTGCTGCATTCACATATATAGTACATTTACTAGCCTCTATATGCCTACACATGTTGCATTGGACTTTCAGATATGCTCTGGCCTAGATTTTCAAAAGAGGTCTGCGTACTGAGCACTTTGGGGAATCTGAGCTTTATTTACATGCATAAAGGGGAGATACTTGAGCTCTTTTGAAAATGTGGCTCCAACATCTGGCCTTGAATCCTTTTGAGAATCAGACACAACAGCTCAAAATCCCAAATCAGTATAAGAGTATCATAGCTCTCAGTACAACACGGCCATTATGGACACAAATACATGTATGTCACTGTTTGTGATGGATGTAAGATTTGAGATATATAAAGACACGGGGTGTAGGAAGTATCAAAAGAGATAATTAATTTTTAGAATATTTTCTCTTACCTTGTATACCAATTCTGTTGTAAACAATGTCCAGTACCTTCAGGACCTAACCAGTCCTGGATAATGGATTTTGCTGGACCAGGGGAGCCCATTTCTGGCTCCCCCTGCCACCAGCCCCCTCCAACCGTGGTGTGGCCTGCCAGCCTCCCAGCTGGCTCCCTGCTCTCACTGGCCCCCACTATCCTCCTCGGCAGCCCTGCTGCATCCATGAACACTGGGCTCCAATTGCAACACCTGGCAGCACCACCACCTCCGAGCCCTCGTTCCTGCTGCTGTGCTGGGCTGCCCCACTATCTCTGTGCTCCCACTGCTACTGGGCTGCCCCAATACTGCGTGTGGGGCTCCCACTCCCCTGCTGGGAAGCCCCCGCTGCCGTGTATTGGGCTCCCACTGTCCTGCCAGGCTGCAGGACTCCCACACACTAGTTCTCCACTGGGCCTCTCTGGTCCTGGAATATCCATGGTCTGGCAGGACTACAGATGTTGCCAGACCAGAAAGTCCCGGTTAAGAGAGTTTCAACCTGTAATAAATGTACAAGAACTAGTTTTGCGTGGGAAAGAGGTAAATCAGGGCCTAATGTGAGCTATTCGCATTCAAGTAAATTTCAAAATGAAAAGTTGGCTCAAATCAAAATGTCAGAGTGGTTAATTTTGAAAATATCAAGTTGAAACATATAGGCTTTTTTAGGTTTTTTTTCCTCCAGTTTTTTCAACTGAAGTAATGTGTGACAAATGCATTAAAAGTTTCTGCTAAACTAAATCTGTATTTTCCAGAACTTTCTTCCCCTCCCGCAAACAAACCAACCAACATGCAGGCAAACAAAATAAAGTCCACCACACATTCTCTTTGGCCATAACATTTCATCCAGCACTAATCATAATGCATGTATACAAGAGGGCTAAATTAAAGTTGCTCAGGGAAGGCCAAGAACCCTGAGCACAAATAAAAACCCCAATACATTTACTGAAATGACACTAGGACGCCTTCCCCATGCTCTAGAAATACATTTGGAATTTCCATGGATCAAAATCAGAACACATTCTGCCAATCTCAGTTCATCAAGGAAAAAGTGGATGGATTGAAATGCATTAATATTCACACAGTGAAACTCATCTTGCAGCCAGTTTTGAATAACTGCTTTTGACTAGACGTTTCAGAACATCTAGAGTATGCTGGAGACAGCAAGATTAACCCAGTTTGATTTTATTGGCTGGACCTAAATTGCAGTAAAGCAGAACAAATCGCTTCGAGATTACTTCAGGTTAATGCTTAGCTGCCAGGCACAGATTTTGTAACAACGATAATATATAATAACAACAACAATAGAAAAGAGATACAAATATGCTTTCCAAGGCATTTTGTTATTTGGAAAAGGAATAAACTAATTTAAATAATTAGATAACCTGGCATTTAGGGCATGTCTACACATGGAAATTTAGTGAAAAAAAAAAAAAAAAACTATTCCAGAGCGTTTAATATTATTACTCATTAGCTATTATTACCCTATTTCAAAGTGCCCACTTGTGAACACTCTTATTTCAGAATAAGAATGTGCAGGCAGGGGCTTTTACTTAGATAACTATTTCAAAATGGCTATTTCAGGGGCGAATAAGTCCTTGGAATCAACCAAGGGAATACGTGAAATAGATGAGAACTAAAGAAAGATTAACTGTAGAGCAAACACATTTTAGCTTAAATTCAACCCTTAGGTTCCCCTTGGTTGGAAATGGCAAACTGGAGCCAATGGGAACCATGAGGCTCCATGGCTGTGGACCCTTTAGGTAAACAAAGTGGTGTGGGCCTGCTAGCGGCTTTCCCAAAGCGGGCCCATGGCCCACGTTGAAAAACACTGCTTTATATCAAGGGAAGATTTATACCAGAGGGAGTGCTAGATTAAAAAGATAAAAATAGCTAAACTGAAAGATAAAATAAAACACTGGATGTGACACTAAAACCTCCTAGAATCAGCCACTCAAAGGATCAGTAAAATATTCCTTGAGTAGTTCAAATTTCTTTGATTGAAAGTTGAGCAAAATTGTACTAGGTACCAAAACAGTGTCTTTCCAAAGATCGTCTGCTATGACAGATGTGCATGGGTGCAGATTTCACTGCACATTTAATAATGCACTTTTAAAATTTATGAATAATTTGTTTCCTTAGTGTAGGATGTAATGTGTAGAAAGTATGTTATAATATAGGTATTGGGATATATGAAAAGATGCCTGCTTGTCTGGCAAGGAAAGAAAACAGCCAGGTAAAAAGCTGAGCCCGCAATCTGACTGGGTAAACAGCTTGGTCAGCAGTCTAGTCTGACAAACAACTGAATTAGCAAACTAATGCTAGAGCTAGGCAGAAAAAGTGTTTATACAATATATATATATATATATAATGAACAGCTTTTGTATTTAAGGCACACCTGAATGTGGATGTGTGCCAGCATTTAATTCTATACCGTGCCCTGCTTTAGTTAAGCAGCAAATAAATGACATGCATTTTCAATTCAGAAGTCTGTCTGTGAACTTGAGTGTTCTGGACAGCACACTGGTCAGCTGTTTGGTGCCGTGGCTGGGAGTGGAGCCACAATGGTTGGTGAGTACATAGATTGGCGGGCAGGGGCGGCTCGAGGTGGGCTGCGGCAGCTGGCACCCCAGGTGGAATGTGCAATCGGCACCCCTGCCTGCATGGCCATCAATGGTGTGACGTCATCATCGGGTGCCCCGTTGAAAGCGGCACCCTAGGTGACAGCCGAGTTGGCCTATACTCACGGGCTGCCCCTGCTGGCGGGGAATTTTGAAGGACTAGAGTGGGGTCTGGTTGGTATAAAGTAAGAGTCGTGGCCTAATCTGTCCTGAGAGGAAGCATGTCATGTAATCACGGGCTTTGCTGGTTAGCTTTGTAGAAGTATGAGTTAGTGACAAGGGAGGTCCCTATGATATTTCTCCCCAGAAAACAGGGATCTGGGAGGAGAGCTAGAAGTCCCTTAAAGTAATCACCCTAGATCAGAAAGTGAAGGATAGAAGAAAGCCTGTATTATATAGGGATTAGTGAAAGGAATCAATGTGCTTTGGGAACAGTACGTACTCATGAACACTCTTATTTCAGAATAAGAATGTGCAGGCAGGGGCTTTTACTTAGATAACTATTTCAAAATGGCTATTTCTGGTGTAAACAAGTCCTTGGAATCAACCAATGGAATACGTGAAATAGATGAGCAGGAGTAGGAGGGGGTGGGAGTGCAGGGTCTGGATGAGAGGTTGGGGGCAGGAGCAGGCTGAGGATGGGGGTGGTGGTGGTCTGGATGGGAAGCAGGTTGCAGAAGCAGGCTGGGGGTGAGGTGTCTGGATAGGAGGTAGGGTGCAGGAGCAGGATGGAGGTAGGGGATCTGGGAGGGAGAGTGTAGGAGTGGGATGGGGATGTAGGGACTCAGTGGGAGGGGGATGGAAGTGCACGGGTCTGAGCATGCCTGGCTCCGTGCCTCCTGCTGTTCCCAGGCATTATCTCCCCACTGCTCTCAGTGGCCATGTTTCTGGCCAATGGAAGCAGTGGGGAAACCTCCAGGTGAACAGTTTCCTGCACTGCAGTTCCCCTGGCCAGGGTGATGGTTAGTGGTAGCACACGGAGCTGCTTCTTTCCCCTGCAAGCTGGATCCAGTCTGCAAGGCTTAGGGCTCCCCCTCCTGCTGCAGGAAGCCAGCGCTGATGCTCCAGGCTCCTGCTGCAAGGGAGTGTGAGCCTCAAGTCCTTGGCCCCACTGCAAGACAGTCATGGACCACGCGTAGTGCACAGACCCCACTTTGAGAACTGCTGTTCTACACTCCTAACACATTGTTTCTTCCTTTTGCAAAATGAGGGGCTATCTAGGATGCAATACATGGCAGGTATAGTTCCTTCCTGTCTGGCAAGGAAAGAGAACAAGCAAGGAAAGAGCTGAGTCAGCAACTTAATCAGGCAAAGAACTGAGTTAGTAAACTAATCCTCAAGTGTGGATGAGTTTGGGAACAGACTTTTGAGCAGCAGGAGCCAATAACAGGCGGGATGATTTAATGCACTCTTATGTGAAAACTGGAAGACAACTCTTAATCCTGCACCTATTGGTAATCAATTATAATTATAATCTGTGTGTTTTATTTGCTACGACAGTTGTGCATATAGCTCCGCACCATACCCTGTCATACTTTTAACTCCATCTCTTCTTATCTCTTTTCAGCCCATCTGGCTTTGTTCACATATATTGGTAAGGATAGAAGAGTATCAGAAAGTTAAACCCCCAAATTCTATTCCAGGCCAACAAACAGGCCTACTTATAAACACAGACCAAGAAGGGGGTATTCTTCTGGAGACACCCTGAGATGGAAGAAATGGACAAGAGAATAATAAAGAACTGAAAAAAGTCATGGGACGCTGTTGCACACAAATCAAGAAAAGAAGGGGCTATCTAGAATGCAATATGTGGAAGGTATATTTCCTGCTTGTTTGGCAAGGAAAGAGAGTTGAGTCAGCAACCTGATAATGTAAAGAACTGAGTTAGCAATCTAATCTTAGCATTAGGCAGAAAAAGTGTTTATACAATACAGTACACTCTCACTCCAAGCCATTTGTTTTGTATAGCCAGGGGCTCATTATTGGGGGGGGGGGGGGGGGGGGGGGGTGGGTCTGGGACGGCAGCGGGGGACAGAGGAGGAGATTTTTGTCCCAGCTGTGGGGCAGGAAGAGCACTCTGCCTTATCCATCGCCCTGGACTGGAGAAACTGGCAGCCCCTATCTACAGAGGGCAGGGCTGGAGATGGGTTTCAGGGACCATTTCGCTATAGCCCCTTTCGTGAAGGGTGTTATAACAAGGGTCTATTGCATATCTATTTTTCAAAATAAAGGGCATGCTAGTTCAGCACCCCGGTAACCTTATTGCACGAAGTTTAAGGGATGGCTCAAAATAGTGTGTTATTTTGAGTTTAGGGTGCTGTGTAGACACACCCTAAGAGGTCTTTACTGAGCATGTGTAAATTGTGATTTTTCTTCCAAAGGCTTATTTTTAGCCAGTTATGGGTACGTTTTTATGGGGATGGCATAATGAACATTCATGACCCAGCGGCCACTCCTCTTCCAAATACCAACCATCTACTCCAATGCATGGCATGCTAGAAGATCTCAGAGAAAAATGTTGCTTTTTTTAACATAGGCAAAACAATGTATTTTTCTCTGCCTTTATTCTTGGGGATTGGTAGACCATTTTGACTGTAATTTTCCAAAACAATTTCAGCATGAGGCAAACATTTGATACGGGAAATTTCAGTCCAAATAATTTAATGTTGGGAAAATTTTAAGCACCTGAAAACAAGATATAATAATGGGAGGTGCTCTCAGTCCTGCCTATAGAAAGAATTGTAAGATTCTATGGCCTGTGTTAGGCAGGAGGTGAGAAGATGAGATGATCTTCATGACTCTTCTGGCCTTTTAAATATGTGTATATGAAAAGTACACATTATATCTCATGGGGTGTAGGGGTCAAAGTGAAACGGACAGAGGATAGACAGGGGATTAATAGATAAAGGTTCAAAAAGACCATATCGAAAGACCATTTTAAAAGCAAGTATTCTTATTTATAACAAATGGAAAGCAGACCCATTTGGAAATTCAAACTGGGGTACTTGCTTTTGAAGACAACACTTACGTGCTAAGCCTGAACTATGAATGTGGCAATAATCCCTTTTCAAACCCACTTCTTCAACAGTACTGTTTCATTAAGGGCAAAATTCTGCTCTCAAATCTACAGTGCAGCTTTCCATTGCATATTCTTCACTCAGTCCCTAAGCAAACTCTTACCGATTTCAATGGGAGCTCTGGGAAGAATATGCAATACAGATCTGCAGTGCGGATCAGAGAAATTTTGCCCTCAGTCCATTAACAAAGCTCAGCTGCTTATGCACAAGCTTGCTTTGTGCATCAAGCTGCGAGTGGATGCAGCTGAACCATCAGAACCAAGCTTCTGTTACACAGGCTGATGAATCCAAGTTCCTAGTTAGGCCAATAATCATTTTAATAGGAAAAGATTAGATACGATCCATTCATTTATCAGCATCCTCACCAATAAATTACAGAAAAGGCAACAACTGGGAGTGTTACATAGGCGCTGATTAGCTATATGAAGACATTTAATGCAAGGCAGTGGAGAATCATGCCCACTATGATTCTGCTGTTGTATATTGTCTGATTTACAGTACTGTAGTTGAAGCTCTCTAAAAGTGTGGGTCAAATTCTGCTAATCATTTCTCTGGCAATTTTTCAGAGTAATGACCTTAGGCTTTAGCCTTACATTTCCATTGCCACTGTCTCAGCATTATGCCATATTTAAAACATTTCATTCAAAAAGAAAAAAAAAACACCATGAAAATGGCTTCACTATTACCAATGGGCAGATTTTTAGAAGGGAAGGCAAACTCTGTTAAATTAAGTCTTATTTGCAGAGTCATCATTTCAAGTGAGTCAAAGACATTTTTATTTCAAATCTCTACCTTTAAAATGTGGTGTAGGAACATGAAGATATAGGGATTTTATTTCCTCTTAACATACTTTTCCTATTCTGATAATTAGAGTAGCCTTTGGGAATAGATCTGAGGAAGTGAGTTGTAACTCACAAAATCTTATGCTGTAATACACTAATAAATTTGTTAGTCTTTAAAGCTCCACTGGACTCCTTGTTATTCATGTCAAGGGTTCTCTAATTGGATTTAAACACAAGAAAGCAAAGAGGAAATTTGGGTATGGATATTTACAGAATCTTCCTACGGAACCTGAAGTCATGGCTCCTTTCTTCACAGTCTTAAACGTTCAACAAAGCACTTAAGCATATGCTTTGATGAATGGGGATGGGATTACTCAAACACTTAAAATTAATCATGTGCTTAAATGCTTTGATGAACAGGAATGAGTTTATTCACAGGTTTAAAATGAAATTGATGCTTAAAAGTGCTTTTTGAATTAGGAGTTAAGGCTGGATCTGTGGAACCACTGCACACAACACTCCTGTTCACTGTAAAGAGAGTTCCATGTGCTGAGCACTTACAGAGTCAGGCTGCTGCTACTTAGTCTGTCAGCTAAAACCAGGACTACTGATTCCAGGTCTGGTTTACACTTTGTTGCTTTAGTTAGAACTTACCTATCTCTCCCCAGCAGAAAGGGTTGATTCCACCTGTTGTACAGTTGTATACCAGCATTGATTTTGGTCTGGAAAATAGATGATGTGAAAAATGAAGTGGAAAGAAAACAGAAAAAATTATCCCATTATCTTGAGGTAGGGTGTAAAATCATGGATGAGGGAATGGGAACAAGAAACATTTTAACTAAAATATGCCAACCACATCTCACTGCACTATTTCAGTTTACGGGATAGCTTTGTAACTTCACTGACTTCTGTGGAGATAGTTAGGTATACATGAGAGCAGACTTTATTTCTATATAGCTTAATCCAAGCTAAATGGACAATAAATAATAAAACAAAATACATTCTAAAAAAAAAAAATCTTACTTTTAGATAGGGTCTTTCATTCCCAAATGCCTTTAGCCTATATACAACATGCAGCACTAATTAAAAGAACTTACGTCTATCTGTGGTTGAACATGACAACCAAAGAGTCCAGTAGAGAATTGAGGACAAATATTAGCCAAGTACACTAGGGCCCTTATTGATTTCAGTGGGAGTAGATGTCTATCTTTCTTAGATGCTATGAATATTCCAAGAGATGCCCATCTGCATCTTTAGATGCTTGAACGCTTTTGAAATGTTTACCCTTTCGGTACATCTAGACCACCAGGCTATTTGGGGATACCCAAGGTATCCTGAACTAGCTACCCCGCGTCCAAAGAATGCATCTGCTATTTTGAAATAATTTTCAAAATAACAGATGCGCTATTTCAGCATCCCTGTAAACTTTGTTCCACGACGATTAAGGGATGTCTCGAAATAGTGCTTTATTTCAAAATTTGGCGTGGTGTAGATGTGCCAAATTTCAAAATAGCCTATTTCAAAATAAAACCTAAATAAGATACGCAATTTGAGTAGTGGAAATTGCGTATCTTATTTCGATTTTAGAATGCAGTCTAGACATACCCTATGACTAGTAAGTCTTCACTTCAGCCTCAATGAGAAATTAGAATGAAATATATATCACATCAGATTCTCATATGAAAATTTACCCTTTATTTTAAAATAGATTTTATAATGAACTTCATACTTAAAGACAATAAGTGCTTGTATAACAAACAAACAAACCTTAATTTAACATAAATGTGAAAGCTATTAGTTAAGGCTATGTAAAACACACAAATGCTTATTAATGGAGCATGACAGTTAATAGCTCATAAAACAATGATTGCAAGGTTCTTCCTATATATAAATGCAAAATCCATTTAAAAAATTAAGATTTACCAAATCCAGTTGTGTATGCAATCAATCAATAAATAACAGATTTGGCTTGAGATAAATTATTTATATATCTGTTATCAAATAAACTATGAAAACAACAAAGGAAAGTATTAATAAAAGCAGCTTTTGATTTATTTTAGCGTTTCCCTTGATGTGTTATAGATGATTTGTCCAAGTAAAATCAGGAAGATACTATGTGTTTTATAAATTATTTACTTGAAATATGCCATTTAAACTAGATCCAAAAGTCAGTGGGGACATGAAGCAATTTTTGCCTTTTCTCCAGTTTCTCCCAATAATGTGCATATTATCTTTCAGGTCTCATTTACCTGGATGAGAAAGAGAGAATCATATCCTGGAATGAAGTTGCAAGTTCTGTTATCATTCACATTTCTCTGATATATTTTAGAATAAGGTTTTTCTGTAAAATGTCACCTGACCAGAAAGGCTAGTGAACTTCTTGATCTCTGATGTTTTAATTAAGCCCTATAGCAACAACACTAATACACTAAGGCCTTTAGGCAGATAGTAGAAATGTAAGCTAGGAAAGCTCAACTCCCCTTTTAGATTTACATACAACAAAATATCTCATTTCAACACACAGCCTTTTTACCCGCCAAATGAAGTGTATAATGAAAATCTGTAATTGCTTTTGAGTCCCACAGGTGTTAAACATCGGAGCCACAGGAAAAACAAACACAGTTAAATCTTAGCCTAGGGAACAGTTTAATAAATTGAATCCTATCCTACATTGTCTGCTGTAGATTATTGCATTCAGCAATATTATTGCGTAGAAATTTCACTAGAGAAACTATGCTATCCCCTAATATGTTTACCATAGCCTATTTGTGACTGGCAATGCATAGGTCCACAAGGAGATGAAGAAGTGCAATGAGTCATCTTTCTAGCTCCTTTGTGACATGTAGCAAACAAGACTACAGCTGGATTAGCACTCTCCTTGGGACTGGGGAGTGTGGGCAAACAGGGGAACTGACCTGAGTTATACTCCCAGCTCAGCTACACACTCCCTTGGCCTGATTCTCAGTTATGTTAAGGCCCTTTGGAAATCATGCTGGCAGCATACAAAGGTATTAAAGTGGGTGTAAGTATAATTTATGCTTGCTTGAAAGTATCTTACACTGCCCAAGTGATGCAAAGGGGCCTTAGTGTCACTCACTAAAACTCAGTAAGACTAACACAACTTTTTAGCTGTGGGTATATCACTTTACTTTTCTCTGCTTCAGTTTTCTCATCTATAAGATACATGGCAATATACTAAATGTTCCTTGCGGACAGTGCATCTCTTCACCTTCCAACTCCCTTGAAAACATGATCTAGTGTTATACTTCTGCTTTGAATAATGCCAGCTTGCTCCATGCCCACGGTTACCCATTTCAACCACCACTGTGGATACTGGTGAAATGATCCCTTGTGGGCAAATTCTGTTGTGGTCTCTGAAGAGGAGCACTGAAGTCTTACATTTCACCAGGTATTCAACAGGGAACCAGTGAGCAAAGTGGAGCCACGGACTCTGAACAGCATGTGTTACTGAGCATGTGCTCCACTGTGGCCAGAATCAGTTGTAGCATTTTAAATTCTTTGGTTTTATACTCTGATACAGAAAAATAGAGGAACAAGGCCTAATGGTCACAAATGCATGAATCACCACAGCTAAGTCTAAATCGGACAAGTGGAGGCATAGTCATCTTGCCAGAAGCTGGGAAAGGGCTTTTTTTCATTGCCATGGCTGGTATCCATAAGCAGTGAAGAGATCAAATGCACACTGAAGTAGCAATGACTTCATCTGAGGTCAGATGCCTTCAGTGAAGGGTATTGTTATAGAGGTGAGGAGTTCTTGGAGTTACTTTCTTTTCCCTTCCCAAGCTTCAGCTTCAGGAGGCTGTTCTTCACTTAGGTGATGATTGCAGCCAAGGCCTTGGATAGCTGAGAAATGGTTCTGTTTTCAGCTGATGAAAAGGTGACGGAGGCCTCTGCATTATCTGCTCATTGTTGGCATTGCAATTTATGCTGATCACACTGTCCCTTGTGATTTCATATGGATGTTGAACAGGACGGCCGAGAGAACAGATCTTTGAGGCATTCCAAAAGGGTAAGCTCTGCAGGTGAAGGAGCAGGCACCCAACATGCCTTTCTGGTTGTGATCTGAGAGGAAGGATTGAAATCACCATGGCATGAGCCTACTAACTTCTGCTGCATGTCTGAAGCAGTACACCAGACGGGTGGGCATTATCTACAAATGTGGATGGACAGCCCCTGTTCATGGCTAAATGAGGTTCATCCTCCAGTGCCATTAGCACTGTCTTGGCTTGAAGCATGATTTAGAGGGGTCAAAGATATTGTTAGCACCTAGTAAGTGTTGAAGGAGACACTTGGAGAACTTCTCAGTTAGGTTAGATAAAGGGTGGTAGTCACAGTAGCTGATTATGTCACAGATGGTCTCAAATATTTGCCAGATGATGACTGGCAGGATTTTCCTACTCAATGGAGATGTAAATATCTCAGTAGGAGTCTCAGATGCTCATGACGCTCTTTCACTAGTCAATGCAAATATAGATCTTGGGTGGTGGCTCAGTTTTACTCCTGTATCTCTAGAACTTCCTGTTGTGTTCTGTCCAGAGGAGGATGATATTGTGTTATGGGGAATATGTCCATTGTACAGCACATAGTGTTCCAGAAACACATAGTGTTGGTGATGTTTTATGAGAAGTGATTTTTCTTTGCAGCAGGAAATAGTGAATTCAGGAGCTGAGCAAGGGCATTCCGCATTAACAAGACCACTCATAGTCCAGAAAAGTACAGCAGAGTATGATTTAACAATTGTTGTGGTGAAGAAGAGGTGGAATTATTTGTTAGTTTATTTCTTCCGCAAGTAATACATAGAGTCACAAGAATACTTTGTACTGGTCCATGTCTGTATCTGCCAAAGTTTTATGCCACACAAATAAGAGCTAAGCTGCTTTCCTCCTGCTGCTTCTGTTTCAGCACATCAAAGAAACAAAGGAGATCTGAAGAGGAGAAAAGCACTTCAATGACAGAGGTGGCTAATGAGTTGTCATAGTGACTAGTTAGATTTTTATTTTCCATGCTCTTTTTGGTGTTACCTACAATAGAGATGTGGAAATTGATTCAGTCTTTGATTCTGAGACTA